ATTTTCAGCCTCCTTTAAGCACTTAAAACATACCCCTCAAGACGCCACATGTCACACTCATGGTAACGAAAGAATAGTCATATATATGAGTTAAAAATTGACAAAAACCATTGTAAAAAGGAATACATGTATTTGTATCCAAGGTAGTGGTAGTCTTGCTGCCATGTAGAATGTTGGAAAAGGTATCATCATGCACAAGCAGAATTATTAGGCAATGAAAAGACTACCTTCTCAGATCCCCGCTCTTGTATAGCCGAGTGGCGACCTATCTCATTTGAATTTTAAATTACTTTGAATTTCTTTTGAGTGAAGCACTGCCTTAGCACCTGGAATATGCACACACATTCAATAGACTTTCTTTGTACATAGTACACAATCTCCTTCGACCTTACATTCTCCAAAAAGGTGAATATCTCCTCAGATCCCCGCTCTTTTCACTACGAAAATGACAGACAAAGAAAGCGGACAAAATATACAGTTCCTCAGGTAGACAAAGGAACTTCCCTTCCCTGCTATTATGTAAAAATGTGTAGAACAGGTGTCACATGCAGACATTGGTGTCGATCCGTAACTGATACCTATTCATCAGGGGGGATGATCTATTCATTCATCCCCCCCTGATGAATAGGTATTACGTAAGGATCGACACCCATGCATGCAGATCACCTGTTCTACACATTTTTACATAATAGCAGTAGAGGGATGTTTCTTTGTCTACCTGAGGAACTGTATATTTTGTCCGCTTTCTTAGTCTGTTATGTTCATAGTGTTTATAGCCGAGTGGCGACCTATCTTATTTGAATTTTAAATTACTTTGAATTTCTTTTGTGTGAAGCACTGCCTTACCACCTGGAACGCTGGTGCGCCTGCGCATGGAGCGCCAGCACTGCCGGTGTTTCTTCAAGTGCTAAAACAGGCAGGGTCACACTTCGGGTGCAATTTCTCGAATAGCACGTGTTTCCAGCACTCATTTTCTGCTCGTCATCGCTTCACAAACGCTGCATGCACGCCAAAGGCTACACTTTGCACATGTGGTGCAAATTTTTACCCAGCACCCGTGATTAAGCACTTCATTTTTTAGAGAATAACAATTTGTAAGAATATGCTTCTTTTACACTTATTCCTGACATGAATAGGATATTTAAGAGTGACATTGCTCTTTAGTGCTCTATAACCAATATTTAATATTTTGCTAGGATGTTGAAGTACAATTATGTGTTCTATTGATTGCGGCAGAGGGTTTGCAGAAAGGATTTATTGAAAATATATATCATGATTTTCATACTAGATGAAGTAAATGTCAAACCAATCAAGATGGAATGTTGTAAGAGAGTTGGAGTTGAAGGTGGCAAACTTCAACTAGATTCCTTCGGAATTGAACTTGAGATCCCTCCCGGAGCAATTGACAGCGAAGCGCCGCAGGACATTTCTCTTCGTGTCCTGACGACAGATACTCCTAATCTTGGCAACAGCAAAGAAGAGATGTCAGTCTGCTTTGGTGTACAGTGTTTAGCCCCTGATGACTTAGTCATTAAGCTACCTGTGACTTACACAATACCTCACTGTGCTGTGATTACACGATACTCCAGTGTGGAGGCAGTTTTGTACACAGGAGAGGGAGAGTACTCAATCGGTAAGTACATCTTGACATGTATGCACATTATGGAGCAATGATATTTGATAAATGTTATTAAAGATAAATGTCAACATCTTTTGTGTAAATAAATGAAACACATAGCAATATGTAAACAACCAAAATGTAACTCCATTTTCCATTTACTTCAGAACAAGGCAATTGCAATTGTACAAGGGAGAATACGCACCCGATAAATACAACTCGACATGTACATGCAAAATATTTCTCAATAAGCCAGTTCTTAATATGTGCTATAGTAAAAAAAAAATAATAATAATAAATAAAAAAAAGAAGGAAGAAGCAGAATAATCTATCATCATAAGGTACATATATTTTAGCCAAGGAATGTTCAGGTTTGGGGAAGATAAAACAAATAGTAGGTCATTAAAGTATCTCCTGCCCGGTTAATCTTTATTGCAAATATGTAAACCTAAGCTGTTCAGCCTATAGCAGTTCATATATTCAATATTTCTAATTCATCATTTGTACCTTCTCAAATCTGCAACAATTGTACAAATTTATCTCTTTCACGGTTTGAAAGAGATGAATTGTAAAATAAAATGATAATGATTTCATATTCTACACCACAAAGCCAATGTTTAAACTTTAAAGACTAATTACAAAGACATTCTACAAAAAAAACGGAACAATTTACAGCATTGAAAATAAACTTTTATTTTTTTTTGGTGAATTTCGCTCTTTCTGCTAATGTATAATTTGTAATTATTGTGGATCAAAATATGAAAATAAAACATCACTAAAAGATGACATTACACTTTTATATGTGTTAACTATAAAATTGTAAATCTTTCAAGTTGTCTACATGAAGGGTTATCTTCCCAAAGTAATCACAGCCTTATGACAATTGATTTTATTACCTTTATATTTCCAAATAATTATATTTGGAGGTGTTTTTGTTTAGCTTACTTAGTTATACTGACATACATGTACTGAATTAAGGATTAAATGGGAAGGCATATATATCTTTAAACCCATGTAATAATTTGATTGCAGGGTCATCAGGGAGAAAAGTATGACAGATGCTACCCTGCGTCGTATGAGGATTTCCATGTACCTATTATTTTCCCCATTAGTTGCTTGCCTTTCTTGTACCTGTCATATAAATGTAAGGAAATTGTATAATAGCCAAAAAATTAATGTAGGTTCTAATACCAACATTACACATACAATAGATAGCTCAATTTAAATGATGGCATTATTCTTGGTACGTGCATATAAATGAATATACTTAATTACTTAAATATCTGGTCATATTAGATGCAGAGGTAAAGGAACAAATTCCATTAACACAGTCTGGAATACCCAACTGCAACATAGAAAGAGATACACTTAGATTGCAGATGAATCACTTCTCTTGGGCGTTCATCAGATTCAAGTTGACTGTCTTCTTTGGAGGGAAGCGAATGCGTTGCCTGCCATTTGCAGAAAAGCCACTACCGGAGGAAAGAACCACTGTCGTCTTACGTGCACATCTCTATGATGACATCAAAGGGATCTATATGAAGGCAAGAATATTATTTAAATGTCTTTGGCATCGTAAAAGGAATAATTAGCCAGTCTCCCAATGTAAATGCAAATACTTTTTGTTGATGAAAATCTTTGGAAACAGTTTTTTATTAAGTTTTGTGTTTCAAAGCAACTTAAAGCCTAAAAATAAATATCAACTATTTAGAATATCACAATCCCTAATATTTAATGTTATACACCATCTCTTGTTAGTGTCACAATGTTAATGGACATCTCTGGTCTATTGAAATCTAGTTTGACAATCACAAAGATAGAAAATAATCTCCGAAGACTACTGTCTTTCTATTTATTTAAAAAAAAAGTATTTTAACTTAGGAGAAGAAAGGAAATGTGTTCAATGAATCAGCTTATGTATTTTTCTAAGTTAATATGGAGATCAATTTTAGATGTTTCACCTGAAATAAACACCTTAAGTTACGATAAACCTTCTTTCAAGTAATTGTAGGAAAGGGATTTGTTCAAATCTTTTACTGTAAATGACAACCATTTTCATTCACATTTTACCCAGATTAAATACATGTACATTATGCCTAGGTCACATTTGCTCTACGGCTAGGATACGGCGGCCGTACGCCCCCGAAATCGAGAGATAGTTGCGGCGGCCGCAGAGAATCTGCGCTGGCCTCAGGGTCACCCTAGGGCGTATCCTTGTCTTTACAGGCCGTACGGGTGGCCGTGGGATTATAATGCGGAGTTATAACTGTCTTCATTTCTAGGTTCGCCGTAGACATGCCGTAGAGTGGTTCCACGGTGACCGTACGTCGGGCGTACGGTAGCCTTGCGTTTTATATACTCTAGGGGCGAAGCGGTAGCGTCATCCTGGCCGCACGGTTGCCGTACGGTCCCCCTTGAACCGCCTTGCGGGCAGCTTGCGGCCACATTGTGTCTGCCTTAGTATTTGTCAAAAAGCTACGGCCGTCGCAGGGACGCCCTAAGACGACCCTGCGTCATCATTTCAAAGGCCATACGGCAGTCAAAGATTTTCTGTCTCCACAAATTAAAAATCCACCGTGCGGCTACCCTAAAATATGTGACCACTACCGTATGTGACCGTGGGAATGCTGCGATGCTATTATTGCTATTGGCCATAATTATATATTTTAGACCGCACGGCCGCCGCGGCAAGTGTGACCTAGGCAAAAGTTAACATATTTGATTTAAACATTTTAAACAAGCTTTACAAACTCTTTTGTATCTCTGGTTGGTACTAAGCACAGTTCTAAATGTGGAATGGGGGTTGGGTTGGGATGGGCTATAGGAGCTCAGGCCCCTTCCCCCAAACTTTTGATTTGTGTCATTTGATAGTAGACATGTTTATTGTAATTATTTGTCACAAAACTTTTACTGAATAATAAGGTTACTTTGTATGTTTGCATGAAGTTGTGCTATTTCGTCATTAAAAAACTTTCTACCATATTGAAGTATAATACAAATGAAAATGCTACAATTATTTTTCACCTTTGAGGACTAACATACTCTTGAAAACTTTTATCAGAATTCAACAATGATGTGCGTTACCTTTAATGTGTTCTCACCAACCAGTTTGCTATTAAATAGTTTGCTACATGCACTCGTGCTCAGTGTTTAATTACTTGTAAAATAGGCCACATGTACTCTTAATGATTAGAAAGCTTGACAGATGGTTGCCTGACATAGGAACAGTGAATGTATGCAAGGTGGAATCAACCCATATGAATCGCTCATATTTGATAGGTGAATCAAATAGTACTTTGATATGGGGTATTGGAAGAAACAAATATGAAAAGTCAGTTAACAGTATATCTGCATGCATTTGACCAGTATCTGATCAAAAGATAACAACATAGGAAGAAGAAAAGAGGGGGAGATCTGACTTTGAGCCACTAAGAGCAAGCCATTCAATTAAATTTGAAAAACCTTGCAATTGAAATCTAAGTAGTGTCCCCTTGACTTTTTATTAGCCATTATTTGTATTTTCTTGAATCATTTTGTGACAGATAGCGTCCCAGGAGGAATGCGTAGGTTTCGCTTGTATTCATCCTGAAGCAGAGGTTCTTATCAGTGCAGCAGAAGTGGACGTCAAAATGACTTGTTTCATAAAGCGTGATCCCATTGGAGATACCATACATGTAAGTTCTGCTTCATAATAACGATAGTGATAATAACAATAATAATAATAATAGTGATAGTAATAATTAAATATAGAAAATAATGATAATAATGTGATAATAATAAAAAAAGATTAGTGATGCACCAAAGTCACTTGAAATCAAATGCCCAAGGGGCACTAGAAAAGTGCATAAGACAAAACAACATTAATATCTCTTCACAAAATTACCAATGAGTAGGAAACTACATATCAGAAAGAAAAAAAAAAGAAAGAAGCTAAATCAAACAGATTTTGTATAGATTGTTTTTAAACTCTTCAACTTATCTGCAATTTCTAGTCCATCGGTGGAGATCTTTTAACAGCAAAGACCCTGCATGAGCAACCCCCCCCCCCCCCCTCTTGTACATGTATTTTGCTTGGGAAATAGAAGAAATCCCGAGGTTTGAGAGCGTAGAGATGTTTACGGAATGTAATGATTGCTTTTATTTGATTTTATTCAACAAAGAAAACAGTGAATACAAAACAACAGTAAGGGTTTCAAGAGTGTCACATGTATTGTATTTATTAAACTTCATTGATGCACATCAATATTCTGTTTATAAACATATAAATCAAATTACAATGCAATGTAACAAATCAATATTCTGTTTGGAAACACATATATCACATGAATCAATTTAACAATGTAATGTAACAAATCGATATTCTTTTTGTAAACATATATATCATATAAATCAATTTACAATGCAGTGTGTATAGCAAAACAGAAGGAAAATTATATCCAGCAGAAACACTTTTTTTTCTTTTTGTAATAACATGACATAAAATGCATAAAGTAAATAATATAATGTACCATAATACACCCGAAGATTTTGATATATAAAACCTAATACAGCAATTTTTCTAAATAAGTTATAACTCATGTTATACAAAATAGGTAAATGAGGTACCTGGAATGCCTAAAATAAATGACGTAATATTACTTATACATATATGCGACCTCCTGCAAAATTAAACCCAAAACATAAGATTGTAAATTTTTACTTTGTTATTACATAGTATCTAAAAGTTACCCCTCACAGTGATGTTTATGTATTTTTTTTAAAAACAACATTGTTTTGGTAATCCTATGCTCTTTCTTTTGTAGACTGTCAAGTATGACGAACTATGCAGAGGACACCATAGGACAAGGTCCTTCAACTTGGACCTGAGAAGCCAGCCAGATGAAAAAATAGTAGTGACCCTGCAAGTAGGTCAGACAGGACATTCAGTGGAAGAACTGCTTTGTATATTCAAGTTTACAACTCCTCGTAGATCCACCAGTCTCCTGACTCATGACCTAGGTATTCATTGTTGTGTAATAGTGAGACAAGTTGGCATGATTGTTGTTAACAATAGCTATCAATGCAACATGTTCTCTCTGTGATTTTCTGATTTGCAGCATCGGTCATCATCATAGATTTGGGGAGGAAAGATCCCTGATATATCTAGATTATTACTGATAATGAAAATAAAGTTGAAGTCGTCTTTAGCAATGGTGTTCTCCTTTAGGAATCTAGCATTGTTCTCTTATATTGGATTTAATAAAGTGAATGAAGCAATTTAGCTGTATTTGTTTATCATAAGAAGGAACAAATTCGTCTTTCATATATTATTTATAAAGCAAATCTGCCTTTACACCAGACACATGTTTGTTTTGGGGCCATTAAATATACGAGATAAAACAGACAGTTTATCCTTACAGAATTTTATGGACATGTATGCTACCCTTATGAAACTTTATCATATTTGCGAGATAAGAAGCGAAGGATTATTTTTCATAACAAATTTTTAATATGCATGTGATCACTTTTTTTCGATAAAAAGGATAACTTTCCAGTTCCATACAGCAATTCATTATTTGTCTAGTACTCTTTTTCTGATTTCAAAACTTGTAGAACAGTTGCAGGGTGCATCAAGTTCACAGACACTTCAAGCATCACATCAAAGGACAAGGGAAATTCTTGAGTAAGTTGTTATCATTTTTTCCCCTTTAATACTATCAGCACAGTCAGTAGATTCAGACTGAGATCAGAGCATGTGCAGGTATAAACCTGAAATCACTAATGTCTTTGGAGGAGGGGTGGGCAAGGGGCAGTCCCCTCCCCCCCCCCCCCCCCGACAAATTAAATACCAAACAACCAACTTTATTATATACAGAAATCATTGCAAAGTAAATAATAATCAGATTGGAGCAAAAATTGCATGATTACAGTGTGGACATTAGTACGCTGTGAGAAACTGGGCTCATATATCTTATGATTATAACCCAATATATAATATTGAATGCTGTTGGTAATACCCCCTTCACATACACAGATTTCTCTTACGAGTCCCTACGGAAAGTGCAAATTCACGGATCCTTACGATTACGACCGATTTAAGAGTTGTTACAAGTTATTACGAGCTGTTTACGGTTTATTACGGATTATTACGAGTTATTACGATGTATGTACGGCAAAATTCCATGATTTGTTACAAGTTCACATGGATAACTACGACCAACTTACAGGCATTTTATGACCTGTTTACATGTTGTTACGAATATTGACAAGTATTTACGAGTCCTTACGATTTTTGTTACGATTAGCAGCTATTATACTTTTCCCAAAATCGTAAACAATACGTAAGAATACGTAAGGTATACGTATCTATTCGTAAATGACCCCGAATGAAATCGTAAACAACACGTAAGCACTCGTAATAATCTGTAAATAGTCCGTAAACAAATCGTAGATTAACCATAACAAATCCTTTTAAAAATTGTTACTAGTCATTTACGGATTCTTGCGAGCAGTTTATGGACGGGTATTTGTTGTTGCGAGCGGTTTACGATAGTTACAAGCTATTTATGAGTTATTTATACCCCCTTCACATACACAGATTATTTTTACGAGTCCTTACGAATCGCACAAATTCACAGATCTTTCACAGATCCTTACGATTTGGCTACTTTTACGACCGATTTAAGAGTTGTTACAAGTTATTACGAGCTATTTACGGTTTGTTACGGATTATTACGAGTTATTACGATATACTTACGTCAGAATTCCACGATTTGTTACGAGTTGTCACGGATAACTACGAGTAACTTAAGTGTTAGTAACGACCTGTTAACGTGTTGTAACGAATAGTAACGAGTTAGTTACAAGTATTTATGAGTCCTTACGATTTTTAACCAAAAAAGAACAACTGAAAATGAAGTGTTCAAATTTGCAGCTTTTATACCTTTCCCCAAAACGTAAACGATACGTAAGAATACTTAAAGTATACGTATCTATTTGTACAGTACTCGTAACTACACGTAAAGTGCTCGTAACAATCCGTATTGCCATGTAACACGACCCGAATGAAATCGTAAACAACACGTAAGCACTCGTAATAATTCGGAAATGATCCGTAAGTAATCCATTAATAATCCGTAAACAAATGGTTACCAACCGAAACAAATCGTTAGAGAAAATCTTTACGAGTCATTTACGTATTCTTTACGGATGGTATCGTGTTAATACGATACTTACGGATTATTACAACTTATTTACGGACAAATAAATCCGTGGACAATCGTAAGAAGATTTTTGATATGTCAAACAATTCGCCTCTCCTTTCACGGATCCTTACGAGTATCTGCGAGTTGTTGCGAGTTGTGTCGAGCTATTTATGGATACCAGCGAGTTATTTACGGATGCTTGCGATTGACTACGAGTTGGCAATCCGTAAGGACTCGTTAGGAAAATCAGTGTATGTGAAGGGGGTATTAGGGAAAAATCAATCCGTGGACAATCGTAAGAAAATTGTTGACATGTCAACAAAATTGCCTCTCCTTTCACGGACCCTTAAGAGTGTCCACGAGTTGTTGCGAGTGGTGACGAGTTATTTACAGATGCCAGCAAGTTGCTAGCGATTGACTACGAGTTGGCGATCCTTCAGGACTCGTAAGAAAAATCTGTGTATGTGAAGGGGGTATAAGCTGTGAATTGAACAGTCTAAGGCTCACTCACAAATGAATAATACCTGTAATTGATTACAGGCACTGTTACTCATGGGGCATGTGTTATTATATCAAAATCAAAATCACAACATTTCAAATTAAAGGCATTGTTTAACAATGCCGAATCTGAGAGGCATGGCCTTACGTGTTGCCAGTGTCTGTGATATGGTGTATTATTGAAGCCCCAACAAAATTGCGCTTCAAAAAAGTAAAATCCTTTGAGTGACCGGTTTTACCATATTCGTTTTCCCCAGTAGACTGTATGTGTTATGAAAACCGTTTGGCAAACAAAAAAATCGATTTCGACTTTTAATCATAAATATCTTGATAATCACACAGGAGATGGGCTTGTGAAAGTCATGGGGTTCCTGACTGACCTTAAAGTTAAAGACCAGTTATGGTCATGCGATTGCATTGTGAAAGAGACGTTGTGGAATCAATCAGAAAAGGTTGACCATCTAGCATAAAAGTATTGGTGTGTATTGCAAGGTTCTGGAATCATCAAAATGATAAGAAATGTATCAGCATGAGCTAAATCAAGGATTTTGTTAAAGGATCTTAGACAAAGTTACCGGATCCCTTTGAGAGGAGATGAGGAAAAAAATGTCTCTTGCACAATACCCGTCCAAGCCAATTAAGGTCCCGGAGAGTGATATCAAGTTTTTGTTTAACTATACATGTAGACATTGGCTATAATGTTTTGCTGCAACCCCCCCCCCCCCCCCCCCCCCGTCTGTTGTCAGTATGTGTAATTAGAAACATACTAACATACCCTTTTTTTTTAAATATGTCCTATTTAAGGAACATTTCAGGTAGACAGGAAGACTTTGACGTAAAGTTGACCACTGTTGCTCGAAAAGTTAGCAAGCGTGATGAGATAGATAATCTCGGGAAGGCTCTCGGCTTCGAGCCAGAAGATATTCAACGTTATGTCGACACAAACATGAAGAATGCAGATGTAACATACATGGGTACACTTTCAATGCTTCGAAAGTGGAGAAAGAAGCAAACTGAGGCAACAGAGTATGAAACCCTGAAGGTTGTTCTAAAGAAGGCTGGTCAAATTCGTCTTATTGATGAGCTATGAGGTAATTCATTAGATGTGAATTGTAATAATAATACGCAGTTGTTTTGTATGCTTTTCTATCGAGGAATACATTGTTCCGATGATATATATCTATATTTGTATACATAGAGAGAGAGAGAGAGAGAGAGACAGATAGAGAGAGAGAGAGAGAGAGAGAGATGAGAGCATAATGGTTGCGTAGCTTAATCCCCATTTTTGTATGGCCTTCATGGGGACATCATAATACATTGCCTGCAACAGAATCGGATTGCCCCAAGTCGTAAGATGAGGGAAGTGTGATTCTCTAGAGGGCAATATTTTCAATATTCATATTCCCCGAAAGTAGAGCCAGCCAATATCACTACTATCTGTTATATATCGGCCTCAGGTACATAATCAAAACTATTTTGTATCAATTTCAATTATGTGTATTTGCTTGTTGGTCACTATTCATATCATGCATGTCATCTTAACTGAGAAATTATGACGTTAGTTGTCACTGCGCATATCTATTGAGGCTCACTTAAATTTACTTTAATTTTTAAAATTTGTAGTAAATTATTTATTGGAAAAGACTGTCAACACATCGTTTATATATATATATTTTTCCTGAAAAATACATGTATTAAACATTGCTGCACTTTAAAGTAAAGTCATCAGTAATTGCATTAGCTTCAAAAGTATCATGCATGATTCTGTACATAAGCCTGATCTAAGATGATATAATTCACTTTTAAGTACTTAAAACATTATCACAAAGACCTTGGAGAAATCAACTCAAGAGTAATAACAACACCCCTTCTATATAATAGCCCTTAAAAACCATGTTCAGATTTTGTAATATGTCATTGTAATGTTCACACAGTGCAATAGATGATGATGGACAAGACTAATGAAATTGCCTAATGTTTATTTTTTGAAAGTCTCTGTGATCACTAAGTACTAGAATTGAGTGTACCTTAGAAAAACGGGGGCCCAAGTTTGCATTCATGGTGATATAGATAGAAGGGTAGTCATGTTGAATTCCTATATGTAATGGTTTCCACACAGGTACATGTATAATCTGCAATTGCAAATCCGTTTGTGAATGCTGTATTTGCTGCAACTTTTTTAATTTAAGATCATAGCTTACCCTTTCCCCCTCTAAAGTATGGCCTCTCGGCCTTTTTAGAGTATGCCTCGCGAACTGTTCTTATTGTAGATCACATAACTTACCACTCAATATTTGTTTTATCAATATTTCTTTGTATCTAATGTTATACCATCTGATTTATATACGTTATATTTTATACAATGTTTTTATCATGGTTTGTAAAATAAAGACAAAGTGAAATAAAATGAAATACACATGCTGGCTAATCTGATACATTTAAGATGAAAAAAAAGTTAACATTACAATTTATAAACCATATTGCGAGGAGAGTAGATTCTATTTGAAATTTTTAGCAAAATACAAAGAGGCAAATGAAACTATGAAAGACGTGAAATTCAAGGCGTTATCCAGATGAATAGGACTAATTGTGTGTTATATTTACGATGTTGATTCACATGATCTACTCTTACCATTGGTGGAGAAAGGAAAAGTACTATTACACAAATAATTCCCCAAGTATTCTGTGATAGTGATTTACTGTACCTAAGGGAAAAGTGAGTGACCATTATAAGTCCCTCCATTTTGGATTTTTTGTTTAATAAAACATAATCCCAATACGTCAATAATGTAATCGTCTCTTCAGGATATTACGAAAAAATATCGAACCTGAGATGGAAAACATAGACCCTTAGTAGTACTTCTTATTTAAACATAAAATACTGAAATATATATATATGTCAAGTGTGAAATATGATTACGAATTGTTACAAAATACTCTGCAGTGAGGAAATTATCTACATAGATACTCTTTCATAATCATTTATAGCTTGAAGTATTGCCTATAGAAGAGTGCAAAATTGATTTGCGCTCTTCTGTACATATCATGATTACAATCAGACATTAAAAATAGGGTTCTGGAATTGATATCGGCTATATATATATATCCTATGTATGCAGATATAATGTTGAGCGTTCAGATAAAAACAAATTAGAAAACCGGCTTTGTTTTACACATATTTTTACATATTCTTTGAAGAAATTTTAGGTTTTTACATGTTTGGAGAAATATATCAAAGTATTTTCTATTGTAGATTGTGATCTGTGTATTTCAAACATGTAAATTACAATGTCCTATTATCTATATATCATGTCAAACAGTTTAATGTATACATTAAGAGATCTTTTCGTTGTTCGTTATTAAAAAAAGAATGCTCTGTTATCTGTCATTGATACTTGTGAGAATTCCTTCAAAGATTATTGTGCCAAAAGTCTTTCATTTTTGTAAATAACAACCTTCCATTTTCATTTCCTTTGACATTCCAGTCTTTCAAGAGTGTGTGTGATGAAATTATTTCATCCTATTCATGGTGTATACTCTTCTGTCCTTCATGAATACTATCTTTATGTATGTATGTCAATAAACAAAATGTGTGATGCATATATGCATCCCAGTTATTCAACAGGTAAAAGCTTGTTCGGGTGTAGCGCAGTAAACTGCCGGTGGAACAAAGCAGCTGCATTTTTTAAAGGTATAAACGAATATAAACTTTGCGCAAGAAAGGGCTTGCGCGTATTCATTGAGCTCTGTGTTACAAATACAGAAATGTGAAGCGTACTACACCTTCCTTCACCTTAAAACAAATATTAAAACACACAGTTTTGCTGCGTTATATCTGATCGAGCCTTTTAGTGATACAAAGAAAATGTTTATACAATTGTATATTATTAGCAAGGTTTACTGCACACGAGAATCATATTTCTGGAGCTCTTTCAGGGTCATCCTCATTGAGTCCCTCACTTTGCAAAGTGAATTTTATCTTCATGTAAACACCAAATATGCTTGATATATTGCACAGGGTCTAAAAGTTTGATGAAACAGAATCCCAAACATGTCATTAATTGCTAATCGTCAGGATCTCACAACAAAATATCTTACCTGAGATGGAAAATAAATAGGCTTTAAGTAGTAAGTTCTTCTTCTAAACATAAAATACCGAAATATATATATGTGAAATGTGATTGCAAATTTCTAAAAGATATCTTGCACAGCGTCTATAAGTAGACGATAATTATAACTGATTTTGTTTGTCTTCTAAAGACCCTGTACAAGGTTCATATGCATTTGTATTTTGATACTCCCGAGATGTATTATAAGTATTGTAAGAATTCCTGTCAGTACTACATGTATTTGGATTTCTCAAGATATGATGTGAATGAATTTGTATTTTGTAAAGACTTACGCCTGAAATACGTCGAAGTAGTACTGTTATTAAGTTTGTTATAAATTAAATATAAGGTGAATACCTGTCAAAAATAAATAGGCCTATTGTTAAGTGTCATCAGTATTAGTGATGTGAGTTGGTCTGTTGGTAATGTCCATGCTCTCTGTCTTCGTCTACAAACTTACTCTGATAGGAACCAGGTTTGCGAACCGTCTTTGACGTCTTTCGGATGGTGACGTTAAAGGTCAGTCCCCCACCGAGTTATCTCATATGGATACACGTGTGTAAAAAAAAAAAAATAAAAAATAACACGCACACACTGACACACACACACACACACACATTTTTCCCGCAATTATTTATTTGGATTTCATTCAATATAAAAACACTCAATTAATTCCTCAAAATACAATTCTTTTTTATTGTATTAACAATTCTATTAACTTAATACATTACGACAAAAACAAAAGTAAAATTGACTGAAATCGGTTAAATTATACAACAAATTGTAACCCTATCCCTAACTACCCAACCCAAACAAACCCAACACACCGCGATAACTTACACTCACACGAAAGAACACCCTCACCTATGACCTTCACTATTTTTCTTTTTTTACTATTATTCATTGTGCTTCCTTCCATCGAATTCATAGAAGGAATTTTTGTTAATAGAAATACAAAAACAAGCCCATACGTTTCCAATAATACGAGAAATAATGACAGAATGGAAACAAAAACTTAATATACCTCCCTCTCCTCTAAAACCCCCTCCCCCCCCCCCCCCCCACAACAAAACTTTCTATATTTTTTTCTTTCTTCTTTTTAATAATACAGTTTATTTATATATTGTTTAACAATTCCATACAGACAAGAACAACAAATCTCAAATCCGTTCCATAACGATGAATGGAAACATTGGGACACTGATAATATACAAATAATCAAGGAATGGAACAATATAACATAAACATTTTAAAAAAATAAAAGAATCCATCATACAATACAATGAGTACTTAAGGGTCCTATATATATTCCTTCCTTCGACCACCAAAATGGCCTCAACTCAAGGGCAATCTACCCAACACCCCTTCCCCTAACGACCCCTAGCTGGCCACCCTCATCCATCATACTTGGCACTACCCCCTCCCCGAACGTCTATCCCTCGCCTTTATACACACATACGTACGCACATACACACATACAAAAACACGCATATCCTGCTCACTGGAAGAAGACAAAACTTAGGTTAGTTTTACTTCTACCCTCTTCTGCAAATGTAAACTGAGTTTAAAATTAGACCTTTTGTGGCTATATCTCCTTTTCTTCATCCCTATATTTCTTTATTGTTTTATGTACATCAACTGGCGGAGGTATTATCGAAATTGGTCTAGCCTGATAAATCATATCATTTAGTATGAAAATAACTGTGTTGCAGCATTTAACTCTTGAGTGACCTGATATTCCTTCATGGATATCCTCCCAATCTGCATTCCTTAGTTTCACTAATTTTAATATATCGATAGTATCATACCATACAAATTGTCCACTTCCAAAACAAATGCGAGTTCTGTACTTTGTTCATAGAAAGAACACGTGCCATATTTTCGCTACAAATCTCAGATGCAAAACAATAGAAAGCATTTCGCTTTTTCAACTTAAGTGCTATCAAGTGGTATCCTTTTCGATCCCAATAACCCTTACAAATGGATTTAGGTCCAAAGTTTTCAGCTGCACTCCTCGTCCGAAGTCCAAACCAATTCTAAGTATTTCCTCCCCCCTTCTTCGGCTAGATCGGAGAGTAAAGAAGTGTATTCTTTCTCTCAT